CATGATCAAATACTAGATTAATGCATTCTCTTGTAGGCATATCTTCAGCAATAAAACTAGAAAAAAAATGTAGACAACATAAACTAGATAAATAAACATCAACATTTATCACACACGCACATAAACAACCCAGATGCATAGATCGGTACTTCAGCAAGGCTATAAACTTACATTTGCATGTTTAGGTCTACTGTTGGATCAGCTGGTGCAGTTGCAAATGCAGCTTTCAAACTCTGTTTCTCAAAGTATCTGAAATGAAAAAAAGAGAGAGTAAAGTAAAAGAAAAAAATACAAATGTAACAATGTATCAAAAACGAATGTGAGAAGTAAAAGCAACCTTGATATGAAAGGATGGGTTGAAAACATGACTTGCATTATTGAAGCCATATAGCAACTGTAAAAGAAGAAGAAATAGGAGACCTAAATTATTTGTTACAAGTTATTGTCAGAAAAGAAGGGTATTTCATGAAGTCAAACCATGCTACCTATTCCCAAGATTCGCAAGACCAGTATAGCCAGGTCCAAACAGAAGTTCAGCATCTTTTCCACTTTCTTGTATTCTATTCCAGTCATAATTTGTGTTGGCATCAAGTTCTCTCTCAGCAGTAGTCATCTCAGTCTGCAAGAAAATTTATAAACCATGTGGTCAAGCATAAAATTGCCTCTATGTATATCTTGAACAAGAAAAATACTGTATTATACATCGCCAGCTGTAATATATATCTGCCTGACGAATATTACGTTGAATGATATCTTACTCACTGTTTACAGTAACTCCTAGAGCAATAGCATCTACTGATAATGAAAATTTTCAAGGGTTCAAGAAAACAGTCAAGAAGTTGGCGAGCATCCTACAATGCATACTCAATGTGATCTAAGCCTGGATCCTACAATGACAAAGTACTTTACATACTTGTCATTATGATTATTCAGATCTGATTCTTCTACATTTTTTCAACACACAAAAGGCTCTGCAAAACAGAGCTAAATAATAATAAGCCTTTATGTCCATATCAATTTTGATTAATAATCTAGAAAAGATAAATCATAAATGACATAAAATTGATATCATAACTCACCTTTTGAAGTGAAGAAAAATCGATACCGAAATGTGATAAGTGCTGAGCTAATAGTGGATCTTCAACGCTATCATCTTCAGGGTATGAGAAAACATCTGAGCTGTCACAGAAAATATGGCATCAACAGATATTTTAACAAGCAATCAAAGCAACCACAGTGAATTGCATATATATTAGTGAAATAAATTAAGGTGTTTAATAAAGAGAGCAAGATAAACATGTGCTCTTTTTGAGAGATTGTATGTCACTAGTCACTAGTGTTTGCAAAAACTACTTTCCTTCAGATAAATTCTTTTTTAGTTTCCATGCCCCTGAAGGCAACTTTGGGCATTACACATTTATTAAGCTATTTATTTAAATATATAACAATCAAGACATGATCCGCGAAGATATTCAAAACTGTACTAATTGGTAATTGACAAGAAAACAAAAGGCTATGTGCTTGTTTCCACACACTAAGCTTTGTAACTGGAACTATTAACTTGCAAATACTAAACAGCTATTTAGTTGTATCCCCATCCAACCTTAATGTCATAAACAGCACAACCAACCAGTGACTCATAACTATATCTATATGAATGCTTTTTGTGTTTTTTGCGTTTTTTCAATAAAAATCACGATAGAGGTTTGATACATAGAATGGAGACAGAATCTCATTTCCTGGAATTTCCAAACCAAAGAAACAAGAAAGTAAATTGCAAAAGTTCAGTTGTACAATTACCTGCTGCTTCCAAATCAGCAGTAATTGTACCAAGCTTCACCGCAAGAGGGTATTTAGTCTGTTCATAGTGTCCAATCGCATGATTATTCCCACCACTTCCATCCCAAAGCTTCCTCCCACAAAGGATCATACCATCAGTTAAATTCAACCAGAGATTCTCAGTTTTATCGCATTTGCTACACTTCCATCCTGTAGGAGGCACAATAACACCATTGTCTAGCTGCTGCAGGTCCATAGCATATGCACTAATGTTCTTCTTGTCAGCAACCCAAGCAGCCAGTTGTTCTTTCCTATCAGCACTTTCAGCAAGTAAAACTTTATCAACCGCAAGCCTAACCTGCAAATAGCACTCCTAAATTAAAGTACATACAACAGCTTTGGTCTTTTGCTATTTGCATAAAGGGTAAAGACTACCTTCTCTGGCAAATCAACTGACGGAAATGGAAGAGAGATAAAATCAGGTAAGATGACAATTTCAAAAGTATCATCATATTCTGGTTCTTGATCACCAAAACCTCCTTCCACACCTATCAATTGTGGGAAAATTCATTAAAAGAAACCGGAACTGTCATTCAATACGTAGATTTAACGCTAGTGCTTATAAGATCCACATCCTAATATTTGTAAGCCAGGAAACACAGGAACACACTGTAGAACATTCAGTTCAATTATGAAATTTCAGATTCAGATATGGAGGAAATTATAGTGTACATATACTAATAATAACTAAATAAATGGTACACCAAAATTAGGAACAAACCCCATAAGGCGAAAAGTACTGTAAATTCGAAAGTCCACCAGTCTTCATTTTTTAATAGTAAACAGCATAGTGCCATACCCCGACCTTGCTTACTAAAATGGCTTCAACAACAAAGCACAGAAGGAAAATATATTCTACTCCCTGCATTCCAAATTATAAGACGTTTTGGATTTTCTAGAAACATAGCTATTGCTACGCACTTAGATATATACTATGTCTAGATACATAATAAAGCAATGTATCTAGAAAAGCCAAAACCTCTTATATTTTGGAATGAAGGGAGTAGTATTTGACACTGCTATACAATTGACACATTTCATGTGAATCCAGATACAATTGCACCCCTTTCTGTCCATCATAGTTCAACCAATAATCATGTAAAAATTAAACACACAATTCAGTTACATAGCAGACAATGAAAAGGATTTAAAGCATCATTATGCCACACGATCATCATAAGTACAGCATACCCATTTACATAACAACATTTACTATCTAATGAACTGTTGGCTTCACTCAAGCTGGGCAGAGCATTAAATATTTATTACTGCCTGAACTGTTGGCTTCAATCAAGCTAAGAAGAACACATACCTATAGCGAGGAGGGTGGGCTTCTTAAGCGGGCGATCTGCCTCGTCGGGCTCCGGCTTCCGGCGCTGCACGATGTGGAGGTACACGGGGTTCCCCGTCTTCTCGAAGTTCCACTCCACGTACTCCCTTCCGAACCCCAGGAACGAGCTCATGTCCACATACAGGCCTCCCTCTGACCTCTGCGCACACGCAAGCACACACATCCAAGTCGCCTCAAACCCTAACCCTAACGAATCGAGTTGGAGTTGAGGAACGGGAAGGGACGGGGGCATGGTTGTTACCGGGGTGTCGAAGGAGACGCAGCACTCGTCCTTGTGGATGCGGTTGGTGGGCTCCGGGATCCGGACCTTGTGGAGATGAGAGCGAAGGAGATCCATGGCCGCGGATGGCGGCGAGCGGCGGTGTGAGAGGGTAGCGTCTAGGGTTTTGGGGGTGGAGACGGCGAGATGAAGAGAGAGGAAGAATGGGTGATTTGACGAGGGGGAAGCGAGTTTATTATTAAGAGAGGAAGCTAAACCCAAACGCTCGGCCGGCCTCCAGAACCCAAGACCGGAGCAGTTGTTTTGATTTGCGTTCTTTTTTTGGAATATATAAATCTGAACGAAATATTCGAAACCTTTGTGAAACATTACAGTTCTCATGTGTTCGTGCAAGGATAGTTTTTCATCGTTTCAAATTATGCAATTTGCACTCAATTTGAGGTCTCTTTCGAGCAATTGATACGTGTGCCTCGGCAGCAGGAAAGAACATATAAAATGAGTTGGATGGCTTGCCAAATCCTACGAAATTAAAAAAAAACATGGTTGCTCACGGGGAATTCATTTTTTTTTTAAATGTTAGTATACATGTACGCATGTACATAGTACACCCTTACAAGCACACGCATGCATACATCTCCATGACACCGTACCAGCAGATTTCAAGTAAACCACAGGAAAACGGGAAACGCTTCGCAAGAATAGTAGATTCTAGATGTAGGTTTCGGTAGTAGTAGTAGTAATATACAACATCCAGAGATATGAGAGAGCTATCAAAGAACTTAGTGATGCAAACATTTTGCATTTTCTTCACCACATGGCACTGCGACTAACAATTCTACCATCCAAATTCCACTCGTAAGCATTCCTCTTGAAAGCTTACCCTTTATTAGAAGAAGACCCAGGCGTGATGATTTTACCTCGAACAAATCTGCAGACAAAGAAGATGATTCGACGCAGGCACAGCAAACAAGGCCACAGAACTTGTATGACCGGAGCTATAGCTGTTCTTCCTGGCATTGGCGTCGAGGAATCGGAACTGCAGCTCTACATTTTCTAAGTACGCGCGAATTAGAATTGGATACGGGAATCTCGTTGCATTAAGCATCACGGGCAAGGATTCCTTCCTTGTAAGTTGGGAGTGCCAACCTGCACCATTCTAGCCTTGAAGCATCTGCTTTAGATGCAACACTACATCACACACGTCACAAGCACAGTTGCACAGATGATCCCTTTCCGAAGCCGAGTTGCAGGCTTGCAGCAGCAAAAGCTTTCAGGCCTCAGCCATGGCCATTTCAGATGTCCAGATAGTGACAGACATTACAGACATTCGATACTTAATACCACCCGCGTTCTAATTTCCTATACAAAAGCTAGTGCTAAACCACTTCTTCAGGGTTTACTGCATGCTAGTTCCACGGCCACATGTTCAGTCAGGCGGTAGAGTAATATATATAGTCACCATCCTGAGTGCTACTGTAACACACCAGCAGCGTGCACAGCTGAGCAGCTGGCAGCTAATGGTGCCAAAAGCAAAAGGGTTGGGTGTCCAACCGTAGTTAACGCCAGGGTGCACCGCGACTGAAGGCAAGCTCATCTCCACAGCTTGACATACTTGTCATGGCTTGTGGAAGCAACCAGGCCAGAGCTTGACGAGGCCAAGGCTGAGACGAGGCTGTCGTGCGCTGCAATGGTCATGCTCCGGTTCTCGGACATGTCCCACAGCTCCAGAGACTGCACCATTCAGCACAGGCCCACGAGTAAGATATCTCAGAAACGAATGGAGGAAATAGCAAGTTGCAGTGTCATGTATTCATGCTAAACTATTGTTCAATCATATGTATCAATATGTATCAGAGACACTTCATGGCAGCAAATGTTCATAGAGTTGTCCTACAACAGCTGCGACAAATAACATATTGATATTTTTGTGACACTTCATACAGTGTCACTTCTGTTAGCAGACCAGCATTTCTCTATCCTTTACTAAAAGTGGAACTAGTAGCAGTTGAAATCTAGATATTGAATAGTTGAGGTCAGTGTATGGAATTGAAATCCATCCAGCATTTGTCGACAGGCACCCTAGATCCATGCAATCTAGTTTTGGAATGAACTGTGGGTAAAGACATGCAAGGGAAAGTAACTTGCCTGGTAACAGCCAATGATAAGCAAGGATGGATAAGTAGGATGGAAAGTACATGAAGTGAACTTTCTCCCACTGCAGTTAAGCTCATTCACAAAGCTCTCATCGTTCAAAGACCACACCTTCACTGTGTCTTCACTGACAGACACCACATATTCGCCAGTGGGATCCCAGCACATGGAATCAACACCCTTAGTGTGGCTCTGCAATTTCCAAGAAATCAGATTATCAGGGTTGCTTCAAGTGACCCCTTCTCAATAACAGGGGAACTATAGTGATTAATAATATATAAATGAATGCTGAGTTGCTGACTACAGTTAGCAAGATTTTTTAGATAAAGGATTATTGCAATAAGGTTCCAGCCTCCGCATCAAGTACGGACGCACAGCTAGCAAGGTGTGACTTGCAAACATATTCAGGTTAAGCAAACTGTCCTAGAGTGCACCTCAGTCACTTACGAACCTCAAATCTCCTCACGCAAGTTTGTGTCTCCACATCCAGGATAGAGACTACATTATCTGAAGCTGTTGCAAGATATCCTCCATAACGTGGTTGGAATCTCAGCTGGGTCGAACCTCCCTACAATAGGTATAGCATACAGAAAAATCATCTTACTACAATTGCCGTGCAGCTCTCTACATGTTCAAGGAAAAAAAATAAAAAACACAGGAGATAGTATTGTCACATTTACAAGTTGCTGATTATGCCTGGGGATAACTTACTCTTTTTTACAGCATGCTACTCACAACGGTATACATATATTATCAATGCTTGCTACCATCACACATCATTGTGATATTAAATGGCTACTGTATCTAACAGGTTGCTACTCAGGTGGACAACTCTTATGTGTGCTGGCAACAAGAAGAAAATTATAGGTCAGCAAAAAACTAAGTCAAGCTGAGAAACCTTGAAAATTCGGACAACATTTCCATGCTTGATGCTCCAGAATCGTATCTCATTGTCCCCATCACAAGAACTGATGAGGTCATCCTTGTTTGGGTGGAAATCAAGTGACATAACAGATGCTGAGTGCCCAGTGAATGTACGAATTGAACAACCATGCTGCAAAAATCAATTCCACGGAATTAACTATGAGATACAGAAAACTGAAAAACAGTTAAACACAATACTTTGCTGCAATTACAGCTTTGAAGAAAACAAGGGCAGGCATCTCATATGTAGCCAAATGTTCAGAATTATCATGCATGATGCACATCACCTATTGACTCCATTTCATATTAAGGAACAGATGCTATGGGCCTTCACAAAATACAATCATGAACAGGGGTTGCTAACTGCTTTCTTTGTGGCTTCACACCATAATCAAATACACAGTTTCAGTGGAAAAGGGCAATGTAAGGCATCCTTAGATTTCAAAATAAAGATGAGCAATGCAACATATCATTGAATGTTACAGGCAGGTGTATTAATATACCATAACTGCATTTCTCGCAAAAAATAAATATATATATATATATATAGCATAACTGCATATTACATGATAGAGAATGTGATCATCAAGAGAAAATTATCACATATGTGAAGCATGAACTGCAGAGTGAAAGAACCTAGAGCAAGAAAGAAAATAAATGCAATGACATGTATTAGTATGTGTTAATTGACAGTTGTGTAATGCAGTATGGTGAAACACGTCGCCTGACATAAGGACATGATCACGTGGGAAAAAAAGCAGGAAAACCTGGACTGATAATAACACTTACGTTAGCGGCATCCCAAACCCTCACAGTTTTGTCAAATGAAGAGGTGGCAAGGCGTGGAGTGCTTGGGCTGAAGCGCACATCAGTTATGAGCAGAGAATGCTCCTCTAGCATTGATTTTTGTTTCAGATTGTCAGCATTCCACAGGAAAACCTGCATTGCAAGATACAGAAGGTAAATTAGCAATTACATATTACTACAGCACTAATGGTGATTTTGAACAAGTTCCACGGCTATCAAGTCCACTAAATAGCTTAGCAAGCACAACAACACATCATTTTACCTTCTTATCATGACCTCCAGTAGCAATTAATTTTCCATCTGATGAGAAATGACAACACAGAACACCGCTTGTGCTTGCTTGGGCTGAAGAAACCTCTCGAAGGATATATCCTGAATACATGTAAGAGAAAATAAAAGCATATACTACAAGCCATTTGTGACACAAAAAAAAATCTCCCAAATCCCTAGGATGTCCTCAAAGGGTTTGCGTCAATTTTTAAGAATGGGGTCTTTCTGTGTAGGTTCAGTACCGACAGTTTTTGTTACAAAAATTTACACAACTCATTGTTAGGTTGATGTATAACTAAACAGATAGTCAGATAGGATATGCCACAAACCTTTTCCAGAACTGATACAATGGCTGCCGGCAGCTCTTGGATTTGTGCCATTATGTGACAAGTATGGTTCTAAATTATCTTCCATGGAGCCATCCTCCACATAGCGATCCATATCAACCTAGAGTTAAGAAATATCATAAATAAACAAATAAATAAAATTCAACAAAACCAGACTTCCCAGGCTTCCATATGAATGTATGTGCAGCTACCTCACCAAAAAGTGGACTAGCATAGAGCAACTTACAAGTTGGTTGGTCGGCGATCCTATTGGCACCGTGCCCTCAGAACCGTAAACAACTAAAGCTGTACATGAGCTCGCATTTTGGTGCTGCAGTGGCGTTGATATGGTCTCTCCTGGAGAATGTGCGGAAGGAGTTGAGGGTGTTGAACTGGGGGAAGCACCAGCAGTATTTGTAGTACCAGAGCTATTGGCTGGGACCGACGAGGAAATAGGATGTTTGCGTTTTCGCCCATTTTGATTCTTAGAAACCTGTGAGACAAACCAAAGGAAAATATGGATTCTATGGTTTTGACAGAAACTATAAAATTAAGAAAAGAACAGATTTATAAGATTGTGATCTGAGGGAGGGAGGGAAAGACCTGTTCATTTCCAGCAAAAGCCACCGTTACAATTCCAGCACCCATTTTTTCCTGCTCGCCTGCAAGATAATTTGAGCTTTCCTGTTGCTGACTCAGTAAGGGATGTTGGAGGAGCTGTTGCGGATTGTTACTCTGTTGTTGTTGCTGCAGAGCTGCTATCTTCTATACAAGACAGAAGATGTAGTAAGGCTTAACTGAAAAATGAAGGATTTAGTTCCCCAATGGCGACTTTGGGATACATCTGTAAACATATACACTAGCAGCCAGATCACCAAGTGGTCATAAAATATCGGTACTTCTCATTTTGACACTGCATGTACAATTAGTTAATAAAAAATTATTAATAATCCACTATTTTCATGATTTAGCATTTAACTCGCAACAGGAAATTGGATACTGGAGCTCTCAAATGGGCATGACCAGCATTGTCTTTTCTTTCAATACTTTGGTTTGGACAATAACCAATGCAATGCATTATACACTGTTAGGAAAAAAATGAGAAATCTGGCTATGTTCGGCCTGTTCGCTGGTTGGTTTCTGGGCTGGTTTGGGCTGGCTGGTGCTGGTTTATTGTGAAAGGAAAACACTGTTGGCTGGCTGGTTTGGACTGGCTCAAACCAACAAGCGAACAGGCTGGTTCTTGGGAATAGGATAGTATAGTTTGTATTCATGGAAGTCCATGACAATGCCACGATCAAGAAAATTCCAATTGAACTCAATCTACTATACCTAAATAGGAGACCCCCACTAGCCTATTTTCCTGCGATTTCGTGAAGCCACATCATCCAGGGGGTCCCACCACTACAAGTTCTTGTGCAACAGGCCAGCAGCTGAACCATCCACTTCCACCCGTATTCACAGCTCAGGTGGCACTGACTTTTCCGTTTCCAAACCTGCAATCGGAACAGCCACGTGATCAAGCCTATTAATTCAGCAATGTCCTTCCCACGAACTGAAAAGTCTGCTGATGGTTGTCTCCTCCACTTCCCCTTCCCATGAGGGGCCATTAAACCTGAACGGCTGAACGTCGTTCACGGTGCTTATAAAGAGACACAAGAGACAGAGGAGGAAGGCACAGTGCACAGTGAGTCCAGCGCCCGCGTCCACGCCGCCTCTTGCCGCCGATAACGTGTCGTACGTTGGCAGATCAGAGCCGTCGCGCCCACCGGCCGACCACCGCTCCTTGAGCTTCCCGCCTCCCCCAGTCCTAGCTGCCGGCGGCGGCTGCCCTTGGCCGGTTGGCCCAGCCGCCTCCAGCCCGCCGCCAGGCGCGAGGCGCATAGGAGCCTGGCTAGATGCAGGCTCCTATCATCTCAAGGAAAGGTCATAAGTTATCATCAAAGTGTATCACTTTTTTGTTTCTCCTAGCCGATACTGAATTTATCCTTGAAAAATTTAGAGCTGGTGTAATGTGTCCTAGAGACCTAGACTATTAACTCAATTCTTTTCAAGAAACTTAATGTTGATTCAGCGATCAATCTAAAAAACTTTCTTGTTCCAAAAGATGTTAATAAATGTAGCATGCTAACACATGATGCATCCACACAAATATGAGCGACTATGCATACATAGTTACGTACAACTAAGAGAAACCTACCTTCATCAGCATATCTGTCTCAGCACGCTGCGTAGCTAAGCACATGTTTTGCAATGACTGGCCAACACTGGGAACAATTTCAGTGAATGCATTTGACTGACCATCTCTCCCAGGAACCAAGTTTCGGCTGCTAAAAAGCATCCGAAGTCGCCTGTTATCCATGTCTCCAGGTGAAATGACATTTTGTTGTGCTTGAACTTGAAGCAGAATTTGCTGCTGCTGCTGCTGAGTCAGAAACTGGAGCTGGTGTTGTAATGGTTGGGCTGGGTGCATATAAGATTTGTGCTGGAGAAACCCAGATCGAAGATGTTCTAAACCCTGAATAGTTACGATCAAAAGGACACGTGTCATAAGAGCACAAGAATGTGTAACAGGTAAACTTGTTTCCAATTATAACTTAGAATGCTAGTGACTGGAAGCCTAGAAAAGGTGAAGAACTAACTGTGAGAGGCCACCCTTTCAAGGTCAAATTGTTCCCCGCCTGATTAGAGCCTGCCAAGCATGAAAACGAAGATGGAAAAGTATGTTACAAACATAACAGTGCAGCCCTTGCATTGTTAGAAAAAAAAAACAGTGCAGCCCTTAAAATCTCCATTAGACATGCAGACTGAAGAATATCCCAAGGTTATATTTTTATTTTGAATTCTACATTCAGAAGGGCTTTAGTTGTGAAAAAAACAAGTGACTGTACTAAACAGAAGCATCAAATAACAAGAGAGTTCGATGTCAGACACCTGATGCTCCAAATAGTGATCCATCTGCACCTGCAGCTCTCAGGTTCAAAGCTACATTTGTTTCTGCCTTCATATCCTGATAGAAACTTCCCCCATCAATTACGGATATTAACAATAGAAGGATATAATATCTGAATATAAACTATCAACCTGTGTTGATCCCAGAAGTGGCTGGCTCCTGACCTGAGCTTGCAGTAATGAACCAGACACGCCACCAGCTGATCTATGGAAGATTTGCCTAATAACAGTTGGAAGAAAGCCAAATCAAATTTGACAAAGGTTTGCACTAGATATGTCCTCACATGTAAATGCTACAGAATAAAATGGAGTGGACGGTACCCTGAAGCTAGAGATGATCTTGCAGGTGACTTTAGCATTGAGGTCGGGTTTGATTCCAGTAATGGGCCAATGCTTTCAGTGAGCCTTTGCTGCATTATAAATAAAACAGACCATTTTATATTCAGTGTACAAATTAGCAAATATTGAAGCAGCAGTGGATAATAAAATTGAGAAAAATACCTTCATAAAAGCCTCTTCTGAAAGATCCCTCTGAACAGTAATTTTCATCCTATCCTCATATATCTTTGCAGATAAAGCACTTGCAGCCGTAACATTTTGTCGCACTGGAGGATCAACAGCAACAGTACCATTCTGGGCACTAGTTGTAAAATCAGTGTTTTCACTGCGCTGCTGTTGCTTCTGCTGCGGCCGTTGCTGCTGCTGCTCTTGCGGATGCTGTTGTGCATGTTTCTGTAGCAAGAGTTGCTGCATCTGGATCTGGTGCTGCGATTGTTGCTGCTGCTCCTGTGCTTTAATCGACTGTGTCGGCATAAATTTATATGCCATCATATAAAGGCACACAAGAGTATAAGACAACACAACCGGCAAACAAAAAGTCATAGTTACTTCCTCCGATCACATATATCTATAACTTTGACCTAAGTCATAAAAAGTCAAACTTCTCTAGCATTGACCGCCAATATCTTTGAAAACATATTATTTCAAATGAAAAGAGTTATGAATTACAAAAGTAGTTTCTATAATGAGTCTAGTAAAGTTGTAATGTCAAGCTTGTCTTGTTAATCTATATAATTTAGATATTTATAGTCAAAGTTAAAAAGCTTGACTTAGGACAAACCTAGATGGATTTATATCTATGATTAGAGGAAGTACTGCATAATGATCACAGTAGATCTCTAGCAATGACAAGTAGCCACAGATAATCATCCCACTAGATCATAGCCACTAGAAAATAAACTAGTATGAGCTAGTAGCCACATGCAGGGAACTAGACCATCGGGCTCTTGGGACCTTGATTACTGTTTTCCAATCAGCTGCAAAGTAAATAACAGCTGTCTAAGACCAATAGCTGGAAGTTGACACAAGTACCATCTATCCATGCCAACAGTGGGAATTGGAAAGGTGCATAATATTTGAGTATTATCCACAATTTTTTACTCAAATTTTAGCAAAACCAGCTTTTTTTCTCAAATGACACAGGAGAGAGAAAAAAAATGGTACAAGAGCAAGGCGCAAGAGCCCTATCGGAACACACACCCAATTACCTAGAAACACGCGCCACTGACTATAGGAGAACACAACCAAGGGGACTAGATTGCCAGGCAGAAACTAAGGATCTGTAGCAATCGACCTTAAGAGCAGGTGCTTTAGGCTAGAAGCACCTGCCAAGCACCATAAACTAAACTCATAGGATACATTTTAGCAAAACCAGCTTACAAACTCACTACCAAGCAGAGAAATGATATACATAGGCTCCAAAACTTTTTAAACAAGCAAATTCGTAGCATTTACTTCACAGTTACACAGTTGTCTTCTATTTTGCAACATGGAAATATCTTAAGAATAATGTGGAAGCAACCAAGCACTATTGCCTAGGTACATTAGTTAATCTGTTATCCTTTTTCTCATCATCAATGTGGAACTTTCTTGGGTTTTGCTTGTCCAATTGATATTGGATGTAATCAGCCCTAGAAATGTATATTCACCGTATAAATGTGCATACACGAGGGACACGTGTGATGAACACAATTTCAACATTTCGATACTAGGTATTGTCTAAGATTATATCAGTTAACCTGCCAAGTGTAGCCAGTGAAGTACAAGCAAGCCCCGATGAGGCAACTAATAATCAAGATGCATGTCCTATAATAACCACTAGTTACTGTCTCAAGAAAAGAACCTCAAGGTAAGAAGCGGCAGAATCAGAATGCTTCTCATTCGTCCTTGCAATGAAGATGTCCCAGAAAACCGACCACCATTCGAAGAGAAACCCCCCCGGTGCATCGATCGCTGTTGCAATGTAAAATAGAGGCAATACTATCAATTACAAGGAATTATATTACATTTTTCATAATGCAGAAGGACCACCCAACACACACACAAACCTACCCAAAAAGCCGAACACTGAAGTGTCAGTCAAAATACAAACGCCTACCCCAATTTTGCTTGGGACTAGGGCCTGTTTGGATCCATTACTACTAAAAATTAGCTAGTTAATAGCTAATAGTTGCTAGGTTTTAGCTAGCTAATTTTTAGCAGGGGCTGTTTGGATCCACCTGCTAATAGGTGGTTGGATAGTGAATTGAAGGGGCCTATGAACTATTAGCACCTATAAGCAACTCAAACCTGCTAATGGAACTAATAGTTAGCAGCCTTCTAGCTAATAATTAGCAGGTTTATTAGCAGGTCTCTTTGAATCCACTGGTACTAATTTTAGCTGCTAATTTTTAGTGCTAATGGATCCAAACTTCAGTGCTTGGACCAATACTTCAGTGCTTGGCTTCAAACTAATGCTTCAAGGAATCAAAGTTTGGCCCCCTTTATGCCCAACGATAGAAACTTCGAAACTACAACGGCATCACAACTAGAAAATTTTATAATCTGATCACAGCACTCACAAACAGGAGCAGAAGGCACATTGCTTTCGGCTAGGAACGCCTTCGCCGTGTTCTGCAGGTTCCTCTTCAGCAGGTAATCATAAATGTAGGAATCCAACCTGCTTCTCAAACAACGAGCATAGCAAGCGTTAGAGCAATGATAGCGGTGGTCAAGATAGCAGGAAAACTGCGCTACTAGTATGCAAGAGCCAGACACGGACCAGCAAAGAAAACGTCTTAAGAAATACTACTGGAGAAGCAGAGAAACCCCCGAAGAGAAGACAGATAAATAATAAATAAACAAGTAGCGTAGTAAGTCAGCACCGAAAGAAACAAAGAAAGCAAACAAGCACAAAACAAAACATTACCGGATGAAGAAAAGGGCGAAAAAGAATCGGATAAAAAAAACATAACTTCTGCGAAACGGGCAAAAAATGCAGTGTGGAAAAGCAGAAATTCCAAGAGAAATAAAGTAAATATTAAGCATCTGAAGCTTATCACAAGTGCTACCAAGCATTAAGCATTAAGGAATCAGAAAAAAAAAAATAACGATCAAGAAACCTAACTGTAAAAGAAAACCATCAAGAAAAAGAAAAAATGCTGAAAGTAGGATAAGAGATTTCAGGGGCCGTGAAAAACAACCCAAAGCATACCAAAGAGTGAAGGTGGGAAGAAAAAAGCAGCTTGTTCACTGATCAAAGCAGTCCGATCAAGGAGATCAGCTAGGGTACAGATTGAGAAGAAAAAGCGAACTCACATCTTGTCTGCCTCCCACACATTCTGCGCCATGGCTGCTGCTAACTCCTCGAAGCCACACTAAACACAATAAATCAAGAAGGGAACACCTCCTCAGGAACTAGGGGGAAATAATGGCAAAGCACAGCGCAAATAAGATAAGAGAAGATTTTGACAGCTCACATTCTACTCCAAATCCAAAGTCGATGCCGCTTTGCAAACCAAAACGCCGGAGAAGAAATCTTTGGTTGCAGAAGAGCAGGCCGGTGAGTAGAAAGAAAGAAATAAGGCGGTGATTGGGGTACGGAGAAGAACGGGGAAAAGAAAGGGATGAACAGGTGAGGAGGAAGAGGAGGTTTTAAAGCTAAGATGGTGCCAGAAAACACCGAAAGGCCAAATGGCCAATTCTGCCGCTCATTTACTGTTTACTCCTTCGGTTCTCGGCGCTTTTCTCGTTCCGCTCCCAGAACTATATATTTTGGATTTTGCCCCTGCCCTTTTCCCTTTCCCATAGCTGTTAGCAGGAATAGCTACTCAATTAATGCCACTAATCTACGGTTGATGGAGCAAGCAGCCTCAGGCCGAATAGGCGAAGGAACGTGGACGGAGTGGCGTGGCGTGGCCGAGCGGTGCGACGATGGGCTGTACAAGTACAACCTGGTGGAGGAGTGCGGGCGGAGCCACGACGGGAAGTGTGGCCGCACGGAGCAGCACGAGTGGACCCACGCTGGCAAAGCCACGATGAGCTGCGCGGCAGCGCGAAGCAGCAGCACTTGCGGAGCAACAAGTGGCCTCAAGCGGTCCATGGAAAGAAACGAAGGAAGAATACGAAGTTGACACTGACATCCGGATCCCACTCTAACAAATGTTAACGGATGCAAAATTGTCGTCCAATCTCTCTCTCTCTCTTCATCTCTACTACCGAACACAAATCAAGGAGCCATGTCACAGTGCGGTAGTAAACTAAATAAACCTTTCATGTTTAAAAATCTGCAAGACGGTCAGGGAAATTAATTATTTCGTAGGAGAGTAAGAGACATGATTGGAAAGTGGCTTCATCGAGGAATAGAACTCACCGAGAGAAAACTGAAACAATAGGGATTTGATATCAGTCGGAATTGCACAACCAAAGACGTGGGAGTGGAAAAAATGAAGATGAGTGGAAAAAAAAATAACACGAGCGCGAGATGAATAGCATTTGTGCCCAATGAATTATTCTAACATATTTATATGTAATAATTTATGATGATCGATGAGGTGGGAACATTTTTTTTGTGAGATCAATATAACTGATGACGTTCATATACACCAGTGTACATTGACCCTTATAAACTCACGCATGCACACCATATCCGTATAGCTATAGGCACCTTTGCAGGACTGAGTTGAACCGATAAATTTTCACGTTCGGAGAATTCACCGTAGACATCTTATGTCGACAGACACATCCCTTATCAATTACCACAACCCAAGGCGCACTGTGGGAACACATAGAGCGGTGACAATTATAACCAAACAAATAAACAAACTATATGAAAAAATTAGTTTCAAGCAAAAGGAATCTAAATGCTATAAAATTAGCTACCACATGCTTTTTGCACGGTACATTTTGCTAAACTTGACATTTTTTGTATTCCTCGTGTGATCCTTTATTTAATCTCAACTTTTCCACCCTCCTAGAAAAATTAACAGTCTTGTCATCTACGAGTATACTCCCTCCTTCCCAAAATAAATGCGGCGAGGAATCCCGGCGAGCGTGGCTACCCAGCGGCGGTACTACCCCGGGCGGCGTCCCTCCCGGCGCGGGAGCAGTGGCCCTTCCCCGCGCGGCGGCCCTCCCGGCCCGGTGGTGAGGCTCCCGACGGTCTCAACTTCCCGGCGCGGCGCTGCTCCATGCGACTCCCCTCCTCGGCGCGGTGGCGAGGAACGCTCTATAACACCTCTGGTGTTACGATCTTGCTTGGTGCTTAGATTAAGGCCTAAAAGAAATTAACAAAACAAGTTTTCGGGTGTTAAAAAATTTAAAACTCTCAAGAAAGGATAATTAAATTATAGGTCTCATTTTTATGAGAAGAAAAGCGAAGGGGATGTTGCGAGTTAGTTCAATTAATGTCCAAACGTGCTTATAAAATTCTAATAAGAAAAATAGGATAAGTTGTTTTAGATGTTCAGCATGAAAAATGATTTTCTGTAAATGAAAAAGTGACATATCTTATAATTAGAAAGTGCCATTTTTGAAGAATTATAATGTGCAAAATACTTAAATAGTGCTTTAATATTTTGTTCCCACGAGTTAGTACAAAGTATGGACTAGGTCACGACATTTTGTCTAGTTGAAATTGACGAAGTTCCGACCTTTAAAAATTCAATCAAAGATGTTAATGGTTGTTTCGTTCAAGCGGGTCTCTCGTCCTTTCTAAGTCTATAACGGTGATAGACAATGCCATTTTGGTATTTGATTTCCAACAAAAATGGTTAAGCACTACATCCATGTTCTTGCACCATTGGTTGCTCCTAACTTAGCACTTGCCAAGGTGTAGGTCGTAGTTGACTTGGATGTCAACTTGAACTCTTAAAAATTGCCCAAACTTCGATCAGAACGCACTAGAACCTTGTCATCGGTGCACTGCTCGTGAACCAGCGCTCAAGCAACATGATCACCTTGGCATCCTCCTCTCTCCCTCTCTAGTCACTCTTTAGTCTCGACGATTGCTTCGCTGGATAGCCGGTGGTGTGGACTTTAGGTTCGTGTAGTTGGTTGAGCCTTAGTCGAGCTTTTAAGCGGTTTTTGGTATGCTTTAAATAGCATGCACGGCACCGTTTTCCGTCTTTCGGCTTGTGTTCGCGGTCACCGTGCGCACGTGCTTCGCTGACGCCGGGCTCGGCCCTTGGCCGGTCGTGGCCTCTCCCTACGAGCCAACGCGCATGCTGCTGTCGCGTGTCGGCCGAAGCCGCGGTGTGTCTCTTGCCTTGCCTTGCTGCGCTGAACCACTATGCCGCGCACAAGGTCGGGCCAGTGTCACGGTGGCCACCGCCTAGTCGACGTGGCACTTCTTCCGCCGCTCGAACCACCTACTCATCGAGCCACTGCCTGTCCCTGTTGGCACGTCGAGTTAATGCTCTGATCGTGGTGCAACTGCACTTCCCGCGCGTCGTTTGTGCATTGGCCCCGCGCGACCGCTGTGCCGCTGCTGCCGTCACGTCATTTGGACTCATCGCGCGCCCGGACTCATAGCTCGCGTACCTCGGTCCACCAGAGCATGATTCGTCGCACCCGTAGCTCCTTCATAAAGTGGCTTAGCTCCGCCACCCACCCCGAGCCCTGGTGGGGCGCTGTCGACCGCTAATTTGGCGTTTCCCTCGCTGTCGGTCGCTGTGGCCGTCGCGGCCATAGCAGTAGGGGTGGGGTTGAGTTTCTAAGTGGTAGAGTCTAATTCAATACCCCTACTAGACTCCCCAATCTAGGTTATAGTTCGTGCTCACCTAGCTTGAACCTCTACCATGGTCGTTCGGCCGGTGGCGCGGCCGTGTCCGCCGCAGAGCGCCGTTGACCTTGATGCGCGCACGTGGCCAGCCCTCCTACACCTCCCTCTGCCTCAACTATCGACACGGCTAGCACCAGGGTAAGCCATGGATGCTCTCACACCATCTCGACCACTTGAAAGCTCTAGTTTGGTTTTGGTTAATTGATGAAACCCTAAGTGCTAACCTAGTTTGTCAAGATGATTATGAGATAGGTAGCACTACTCCAAGTGATGAAGCAATGACGAAGATCATGACAATGGTGATGGCATGGTGATGATCAAATGCTTAAACTTGAAAAATAAGAAAGAAAAAAACAAAAGGCTCAAGGCAAATATATAAATTGTAGGAGCCATTTTGTTTTAGTGATCAAGACACTTAGCGAGTGTGATCACATTTAGGATTGATAGCCGTTCTATTAAGAGGGGTGAAACTCGTATCGGAATGCGGTTATCAAAGTGCCACTAGATGCTCTAACTCGTTGCATATGCATTTAGGATCTAGTGGAATGCTAACACTCTTGAAAATGTTTGTGAAAATATGCTAACACATGTGCACAAGGTGATACACTTGGTGGTTGGCACATTTGAGCAAGGGTGGAGAAGTTAGAGGTAAAATGGAGTTGGTCGCAATGATGCTGCCGTCGGTCTACTGACCGGACGCTAGGTCACTCAGCGACCGGACGCTGAAAAGCTACGTCCTGTCGAGCTGTCAGTCGGCACAGTACCTAGGGTATTGCACCGGACGCTGGGCTGTGTCCGGTCGTGGTAGACCAGACGCGTCCGGTCGGCAAAAGTCGATTTTAGGAGCTTACTGGAAACGACCGGACACTAGGGTCTGAGCGTCCGGTCACTTGTGCCGGAGCGTCCGGTCAGTCAATAGCCGTTGAGATCTGGCGGCTTAGGTTTAACTCAGAATGACACGTGGCTTACATCGGGCGACCGGACGTTGGGTCCAGCGTCCGGTCAATTTGACCGGAGCGTCCGATCACCCCATGTTGTGCCCAGTGAAGGGGTACAACGGCTCTATTTTATGGGGGCTTCTATTTAAGCCCTATGGCCGGCTCAAGCTCACTCACTTGGCCATTTTCATTGACATAGCAACCTTGTGAGCTTAGCCAAAGCTCTCCCACTCATCTCCATTATTGATCCATCATCTTTGTGAGATTGGAAGAGAATCCAAGTGCATTGCTTGAGTGATTGCATCTAGAGGCACTTGGCATTCGTGTTGCGCTGCGGATTTCGCTTGTTTCTCTTGGTGGTTGCCACCACCTAGACGGTTGGAGCAGCGGTGGAGGATTGTCACGAGTTGGTGATTGTTCGTGGCCATCTCCGATGATTGTAAGGGGAGTTGTACCTTTCTCGGCGGAGTGCCGAAAGGTAACTTTAGTAAATTACTCGTATCATTGAATTACTTCACTTGTGGGTCAGTTCTTGTGGTGTCCTATCGTGTAGATGAGGTTTGTGAAACACCTCTTAGCAGCCGAACCACCAAGTGCTGGTCAACACAACGGGGACATAGCGTGTTGGCAA